GACAGACAGACAGAGAGATAGAGAGATAGAGAGAAATAGAGAGAGAGAGAGAGAGAGAGAGAGAGAGAGAGAGAGAGAGAGAGAGAGAAATAGACAAAAACATACACACACACACACACACACACACACACACACACACACACACACACACACACTTACTCATACATACATATTCCGAGGGAGAGAAAGAAAGAGAGATAGAAAGAGAAAGAGAGATAGACACATAGAGATAGATAGATAGATAATAATAAATAATAATAAATAAATTACTCTTTTATTTGTCCCAGAAGGGCACTTTGTTTTACAATGGCAAACATACATACATAAATACATAATTATAAATACGTACATACATATATACATACATGCATAAATACATTCATAAATACGCACAACAGAACAGTTTACAAACAATGCCACTGTCGGTCGCCACTGTGCAGCGCCCTGTAATTTGAGCTAGGGTTGTCGTGTCTTGCTCAAGGACACACTCCAGTGAGTGCCAGTGACCACTCATCTAATCCCTGTGTCACCGACACTTGCTTGACATTGCTTGAGTCAAAACTCACTACTCACTTAGCCACTGGAGCCCCCAGATTTATACGGACAGATAGATTTTTTTTAAAAAGAGTGATAGATAGACAGACAGACAGACAGATAGATAGATAGATAGATAGATAGATAGATAGATAGATAGATAGATAGATAGATAAATAGATAGATAGAGACAGACAGACAGAGAGGGAAAGAGAGAGAGAGAGAGAGAGAGACAGAGACAGAGAGAGAGAGAGAGAGAGAGAGAGAGAGAGAGAGAGAGCGAGAGAAAGAGAGAGATTGAGATGGAGATGGGTAGTACTACTCCATTTAAAAACACAACGGGGTTTGTCTTTGTTTTTTGCACATCGTTTTTGACTACCTGCACAGAGTTCTACAAAACTCAAAACAGTAGTAGGCTTGTATCGGTTTGTCTAAATTAACTGTAAACGAATGGTTCTTGCCTCCCACCCCCCACCCCCACCCCCACCCCCGCCCCCCGCGTGTATTAACTTTTACTGTTGAAAATTTCCCATCCACGTTTGCGCTGACGAAATAAAATGTCTATTGAAGGGAGCAATACATAAAAGCCTTAACATATTTCCCCTTTTTAGGAGTAAGAAACTGCAACCTGCTGGATGTGGCTATGTGTCCTATAACATATTGTGCAAACCAGCAGAACAAACCAGTGAACGTGTTTGTAGAGCACCGCGAGTACATACGTCGACACATCAGTGAAGAGGTTAATAAGAAATGTTTTCTCTTTACTCTTTGTAAATGAATAATGAGATGAGTCCCAAAAAAAGTGATGACTTACAGTGTGACCGGTATCATGTCGTCATACTTTGTAACTAAAAGAAAAAAGAGGAATGGCTCCCTGCTTGCACGCAAGGATAATAGGGGCAACGGGAGATAAAGATAGAGAGAGGGGCAGAGAGGCACAGAGATACTGATAGATAGATACACACACACTCGTGGATACATAGAAAAATAGTGGGATAAATGAAAGGAGGCAAGATATGTATGTATATAATATATAATAACATACTAGATAGATAGATAGATAGATAGATAGATAGATAGATAGATAGGTAGGTAGAGAGATAGACAGAGAGATACATAGACAGCGAGATACAGAGAGAGAGAGAGAGAGAGCGAGAGAGGGAAGAGAGAGAGAGACAGACAGACAGACAGACAGACAGACAGACAGACAGACAGACAGACAGACAGATAGAGCGAGACAGAGAGAGAGACGGAGAGAGAGAGACAGAGACAGAGACAACATAGGAGGGGTAGAAAGATCATGCCCTGAAATGTCAATTAGAACTATGTTGTTTCTTTACCAAATACAAACAGAGAATTTACAATTTCTGGGTTATTGATCCAGGGCCATTGTTTCCTGGCCCAGTTCCGCGAAGCTTTGACCGCCATTAGAATACTCTCAGTGCCACCCGAAGTCAGGAATCCCACGCAGGAAGAATCGCCATTCAACATGGATGCCGTCATGCTCACGATCTCTGTCTCCATTTGTCTGCAGACAATAAACCCCCAACACAACCAATTAGACCAAAAAATACTTTTCCAAAATAACTATAAATGCAAAATATTGTATTGCTTATAATAGTTTTATTAAAATGGTAAATTGTGGCGGTTGCTTATAAACAATAAGCCCCCAACACAACGAATTAAGACCATAATTCGCCTATATTTTTACAAGGTAACGATACATGCAAAATATTATATTGATAAGTCAAGTCATAAATAAAATAGTAACATGTAACGGCTGCTTTACCCCCCCCCCCCCCAAAAAGGGGGGGGGGGGGGGTTCTTCTTTTATTCAGATGTCGTTAACACGATTTTGT